CAAGAGTGGGCCATTTGGCACTAAAATCCAAACCCTCTAACTCCCAGCACAAGGTCTCTGAAATGCCAGCCCCAAATCTGACACTGATTCGTATCATAGACACCTTCTTTTCTATACCACCACACTCTCTAGCAGTTGAGCGCTGGGTTGTGAAGCTGCCCACAGCCTCTGCAGCACCGGTTCGATCCCAGGCTGCTCCCCGGCCACTGGAGGAGGGTCCCACATGGCGCGCAGACCTCTCCTGCCGCCCGCTGCTCCCCTCAGCAGTGTGCTTCGGTCCTTCTGCCTGCTCTGCTCCCTGCTCTGGCTCTGGTGAATTCTCTCACCCTCCCATGCTTCTGACTGTACCCAGTGCTTGTATAAATAAATAAAAAAATAAAAATAAATAAATCTTAAAAAAAAAAAAGAATTTAAGAAAAATTACCATTTTAAAAAAAAAAAAAAGTGTACCAGATCTTCCTATTTGTATGTGTGCTCTACTACAGTACAGGCCTCTCACTCGAAATACCTCATTCTCGCCAACTGAGAATGTGCATCTGTAACAAGAACAGAAACATCTCACTCTCATCTCTACCACCATTGTTAAAGTCACAGAAACCTTGTTCATAAAACTGGCTGACCTGTTTGGGAAACAATGTCACGATTCTTATGTATCTATAAAGCGACAATCTATTGAAAACTGCTTTAACAAACTCATTCACAGCCTCAGGTAGACTACAACTCCTCTCACCACAGGTACCACAAAACACGCTGCTGGACAAGTTGTCTGTGGCCAAATCACTTTGAGAATGTGGCATACAATATTCCCTCAAGTAAATGTATAACTAAAAGACCTGAAAAGTACCAAAACCAAATGAAACTATTCAAATGCATTTAACCCAAGATATCTGTTTTTTTTTTTTTTACAAGAAAATCCTTAGTCACAGAACACTTATCAATATTCCATGGCTAAGCTATGTATAATGAACAAAAAAACTATCATAAAACTAAAGCTGATTTCTGAGAAATCTACATATAAAATTAAAAGTAGTTTGTAGAATGCATTCTTCCCAATGCAGAGGTTAGATAAAGAATGAAAAGTGGCCAAAGTCAGAATCAAAAACCCATGTTCAACAAGTTGCATTACTAAGTTTTGATGTGGAAAAAAAAAAAAGAATCCAGTAAGTTAGACAAAAAGAACATCTCAAAATATTTAAAAACAACAGAAAGAGGGCCTCCCCGGTGGCGCAGCGGTTGAGTGCTGGGTTGCGAAGCTGCCCGCAGCCTCTGCAGCGCCGGTTCAATCCCCGGCTGCTCCCCGGCCACCGGAGGAGGGTCCCACATGGCGCGCAGACCTCTCCTGCCGCCCGCTGCTCCCCTCAGCAGTGTACTTTGGTCCTTCTGCCTGCTCTGCTCCCCACTCTGGCTCTGGTGAATTCTCTCATCCTCCCGTGCTTCTGACTGTACCCAATGCTTGTATAAATAAATTAAACAAAACAAAATAAATAAATAAATAAAAATCTTAAAAAAAAAAAATAAAAATAAAAACAACAGAAAGAAAACACCAATGTCGGGACTCCCTGGTGGCACAGCAGTTGAGCGCTGGATGCGAAGCTGCCCACAGCCTCTGCAGCACCGGTTCAATCCCCGGCCACCGGCGAGGGTCTCACATGGCACGCAGACCTCTCCTGCTGCCCACTGCTCCCCTCAGCAGTGTATTTCTTCAGTCTGCCTGTTCTATTCCCTGCTCTGGCTCTGGTGAATTCTCTCACCATCCCGCGCTTCTGACTGTACCCAGGGCTTATATAAATAAATAAATAAATCTTTAAAAAAAAAAAAAAAAAAAGAAGTTCACTAATTCCAGTTCTGCTTTAAAAAAAAAAAAACACCAATGTCAATGTACTTAATGGTTAAAATGATAAATCCTATGATTTTATTTTACCGTATGTTTTAAATTAAGAGAAAAAGGACAGACTGTAAAATAATGCGATTTTGTGATTTTTAACAAAAGAGGCAGTAATATCTCAGTCTGAAGAAGTTTAAACCATTTCATCAATAGCCCTGAACCAGGGAAAAATGTGAAACTTCAACTAGGGACAATAAATGCATAAGCTGAAGGTCATCAATAACTCAAAAGAATTTCCGTTGTCATGTTATTTCAGAATTTAAAAAAAAAAAAATCAGTCATTCTCCTAGTATTAGTCTTTTCATTGACTATGCCTTCCATTTTCTACTAATATCAATTAATTCTCCATAAATTTATTTATAGATGTATTTTCAATCAACATCCCAGCAGTTAACGTGAAAAGTTGATTTTAAAAATTATATGCAAGTGGAAAGGAACAAAAACAAGAACCCATGAAAAAGAATACATTGGTTGAAGACTTGACAATCACTTTTCAACAAAGGAAGTCAAAAAAAGAGAGAGAAAGGCGATCATCCTTATTAGTAACCAGGAAAATGTATATTAAAACTACCATGAGAAACTATTTAATGCCTATGAGATTGACAACAATTTAAGATCTCACTGTACAAATGTTTGTGAAGATGTGGGTTCATGGGTACTCCTATATACTGCTGGTGGGAACGTGTGTGTGTGTGTGTGTGTGTGTGTGTGTGTGTGTATGTGTGGTGGTATATGCCATGAAGAGACTACAGAGTGGTATAAATGGGCTATAGTTTATACAACAGGATTTATCAAATCTCAAACCAAACTTGAGTTAAAGAATTAAGTATCAAAAAGTAAGTTCCCATCCCATTCATATACAGAGTTCAGCATTAAGAATCAATAAATGGGGCCTCCCTGGTGGCCTAGCAGTTAAGTCTCAGAGCCCCCGCTGTGAAGGCCTTCCGTGGTAGGCCTGAGTTCCATCCCCATCCAAGGAGCTGACCCATATGGCACAGCAGACATCTCCTGTCTCTCCTGCTGATCCCCTCAGCAGCGTATTTCAGTCCATCTGCCTGTTCTGCTCCCCACTCTGTCTCTGGTGAATCCTCTCACCCCATGCACCTCTGGCCTACACCCCAGTTCTTCTATGCAAAAGTAAATAAAATCTTTAAAAAAGAATCAATAAATGTAATATTTAGCAATACATTCAAAGATGAAACACTATAAAGAAAAACTTGAGAAAGTCACCAAAGTCAGAATAGTGGTTTTTCTTTGAAAGAACAAGTGACAATCCACAAAGACAAGGACAAACTCTCTAAGCTACCAAACCTCCTTTTATTTGGGGAGAGTGTGTGTGTTTAAGCATAAACCTGTTTCATGTACTCTTCCGCTTTGGAGGGACAGTTCACAGGCAAAGAAACTATATTCAAGAATATCAATAGGTCCTGCGAAAACAATTTTCCACATGGAAAACAAATTTAAGTGTAAAGATAAAAGACTTGAAAACTATTTTACTTTCAACTACATCTAGCGTACATTAAATAATTATGTTAAAGAACTGCTACAATTTTTGTAAAGACAGAAATTCATGTTCAGGGAGAATAATCACCCCTCCCTAATTTTTCTGTTTTAGAGGCGAAATGTTAGTGTAGATGGTGCTAAAGCCCTTATTTAATGCTTTTCAAATTACAACATGAAATTTTCAAAATTTAGAGAGTTCTGCTTCTCCCCCTTTCTCCATGAAAAATATACATGATTCACAATCCACTCCAAGACAGGAAAAAGCAAGAATGCTACTAAATTATAAAAATTCTAATGGTTATTTTACAATTATTATCAATAACTGTTTAGTAACTATATACATGTATGTATGTATTCATAATATGCCTACAATGCTAAACATGAGAGGGGCAGGGAGGAGATATTCCATAAAAGATACAACCTCATGGACTAGAATGAATCATCTTTTCCTAGGCATTAATTGAAAGTTTTAAATCTCAAAGATACAAAGTTTTTACAGTTTTTAAAAATTTCTTACAGATTGTTTAAAGAATTCCTAGAAGACTTCTTTCTCCTTTCAGTTTCTACATTTTGGTTTTTGGCATTTATAATTTGACATTTTCTACTTAATATTTTTATCTTCTTTCCCATAGTAGATGGGGGTCTGTGTGTAAATAGAAATTTTACCTTCTTCATCTATGTCTCCCCAAGTGTGCCTACTTACGAGGTCTTTAAGTGAGAAACCCAGATGTCTTTTGACGACAGATAAAAATGACCTAATTCTCATTTTATTGGGAAAGTATAATTGACTGGCTTCATTCGTATCCCATAATGACAACTGACTGTATTCAACCCCACAGGCTAGGAAGTGTTCAAACTTCATTTCTGGGTCAGCAGGGGAAACCTCGGAGAGCTTGACTACTCTTGGAACATTGTTCCATTACAACACAGGAAATGATGAACTCGAAAGGAAGATGTTTGTTGTGACATATTTTTTCCATTCCTTCAGGAATGTTTTTAGCCTATGGCTTTGCCTTGAGTGAAACAATGTCAAATGGTTTAAAGCAAACAGAAAATGCCAACCTTTTAGGTCAGTTACTAAATCCTTTACACAATCCTTTTACACAGAAGCTACACCCACCCATTGGTGGGTTGACCAGCTGGATGGTTTTGGCCATTGGGGTAACATTAGAAATGATGTGAATAAATTGAAAGATCACATCACATAATAAATACTCCTTAATATTAAAATCAGTGGATGCCAGGGGGAGCCCCCCCCATTCTAAACCAAATGCAAAACTGCAACATAGCAAGATAATCATAGCACATTTGGGGGTCACATGAAATTCTCATTATACTAACTTTAAAAGTGGTGAGGTATAAGAGGATGTTTTCTGCTTGCTATCATCTTTTAAAAAGCAAGATGTTTAAACACATGAATGAGAAAGCCAGTGCATTTTTACACTTGCTCCACCATAAGTCACGGCTCAGGGTGGCTTGTCGGGATTATTTAAATTCAGGAGCAATGCCTGGTTGACAAGCTCCTATACTGCTGCAGGCTACAATCCTCACACAGTGCCTAAAGGGCTATTACAATTGCGGGCATCTACAGAGGACAACAAAGGAGCCTTACCCCTTCCCGAAGGCACCTCATTAGCACTGTGTATGCAGCCAAGGGAACAGTCCAGCATTCTCTAGGGTTCCTTTTTTTCTCTCCCTAAAAATGAAGCGGAAGGAAAGGTAGTGAACAACACAAAAGATATTTACCATTTCAAGAAAAAGGCACAGCTTCAAGTACACAAACTATCTAAAACATCTTATTGCTATATTTAAAGAACTACTTACTACCTGACAATTATGATCTGCTGTCTTTTCACTGCATGGCACATACAGGGTATTTCTTCCATTTCTCTCTCTGGCATATGTGCTATTGACAAGGTCCCCTCATCAGCAGCAATGTGAAAAGAACTGACAGTAGGATGCAACAGATAGAAAAACCACTCTATGGGCAACTGCAGGGGATAATACAGACATTGCTACTTAAAAGGTATTGCATTATCTGCAAAGACTTGAAAGCACAAAGTACACAGCTTGGCATAACACCTCAGGATGACCCATAGGCACAGGTAAAAGACAGTGTGTGACCTAGCAAGACAACGTGCTAAACAGAAATAAGCAATGTGCTGAGCAGGTGTGCTCATTTTAATGACATCAGCAATAATTCTCTCACAGAAGAACCAAATTAGGGCCATAGCCACGAGAACACTGTTACAGCCTATCAAATAAAATTACACAGAAATCAGAGGCCACACAGAAAGGTAGAAAAAAGTTAATCTCTTTAAAGCAGAAGAAATTAGATTCTGCTGAGAAAAAATAATTCCCTAAGATTGTCAAAATGTTAAAATCAGCATATTACCAGTCAAAATATTTTTAATCCCCATTATGATAACTGTGACCCATTAAAACTGTACCCTTGATTTCAAAATTCACATATGGTCATAATCCAGACATTAACCTCAGGATCTGCTCTCACTTGGAAGTCTCTAGTTCGACACCAAACTGAACTTCCAAACACAACTTTCTTCCCTCCAGCTCACTTATTCGAATGCCCAACACAGGCTTTCTTTGATATCACTGGACTCAAACTCCCCACCACCACCCTGTTCTTCTACCTACCCTGCCTCCCACTTAGAACCTGGTCTATCATTTAAGGACACCCTCTACCTCCCACCCACCACCACATACACACACACACAAGGGTTCCTGTTTTCCTTGTCTGGGGAAACCCAGACCTTGGAAGGAGCCAGAAGCTTGTTTCCTCCAGGCCTCCATGCAAGCAACTGGGCTCCGAGGGGAGTTTCTCTCTCTGACCAAGTCCCCGCACTTCAAATCTGTGACCCTACAACCACTTCCCCTACTTCCTGCCTTCACAGAGATCTTAGAAGTCGTGAGAAAGGAACCACTGACCTACCTACCTACCTACACCTGGAGTCATCGACTCAAGCCCAGAAGTCGTCACAAGACAGACTCCTCTGCCCCCTCCACTGGGGCTCAGCATCTCATTCCCATCCTGCCTTCAGGGTCACTAGGTTATGGACTACCCCTTATTGCTCCCAGATTTCCAATGACCAGTCCCAAATGGATCCGTTCTGACTCCACTACAATGGGTTCGCTCTCTCTCATCAAAACAGGGCCTCTTGGCTCCAGGCTCCTCTTATCCCTTTCACCACCATTCTTGCTTTCCACTGGCTTTGTTCCCCAAACTTCCAATAAATCCTCATCAAGCTGCCATCTGACTTCTGCTCCCTCATGCCAACTTAAATAAATATACATAACATACCTTGTTGAGTTACAGAAGCTTCCATGTCAATCTGCTGGGCTTGTTTTAGTCTTTTAGACCTTAAACTACTTTCAGTCACCTTGACATTCTCCTTTCTGAAATAGCCACTTCTCACCCCTATTTGTATTACTGTTCTGTTAATTCTCATTTAGTTTCTTAGAATCTGCTTACACCATTCTCCAATCTATTCTCTACATTTAAATCAGAATACTGTTGATGATGAGCAATGCAGGGGTTAGCAGCACCAGGGTTTAGGGGCACCAACTTCCAAGCAGTCACAAACCTGCATAGAACATTTAACTCCCCAACCAAACTACTAAAAGCCTGCTGTCAACCAGAAGTCTTACTGAAAATATACACAGTCAATTAACACATTTTGTACATTATACGTATTATATACTATACTCCTGAAACAAAGGAAGCTGGGGAGAAGAAAATGTCATTAAGGTGGTCATGTGGAAGAGGAAATACTTTCACAGAAATGGATGGATGTACTCATCGATACCATAAGTTTAATATTGTCTGTTTATAAGAAACCCTTGTATAAGTGGGCCCACACAGACCAAAGCAGTGCTGTTCAATGGTCAACTGTAGCTTGTTGTCAACTAGTTTTTTTTGTAAAAAAAAAAAAAATAGACAACTGCAAGCATGAAGCAATAAACTGAAACAGAAATTTGCTTTTACTCTGAGAGCTTGCAAAACTTGGTAAATTTGAGCTTTGATGTCAAGGCCTTGAAGGCCAAGGTAAAAATAAGCAGAAATAAACTCTTCAATCCCATGTACAAAGAACTGCAAAGAAGAACTACCTTTCACAAAACTTGGCACAAAGGAGAATGTTCCACATGAGAGAGAGGTTGGGAGGAATGAAGAGGGCTCTGAGTACTGATTAAGAAAGACCCACATTTGGGCCTCCCTGGTGGCACAAAATTAGGTTAAGCACCGCACTATGAAGCAATCCACAGCCTCTGTAACACGAGTTTGAGCCCCGGCCGGCCAGGGAGAAATCCACATGGCAAGGCAGAACTCTCCTGTCTCACCCGCTGCTCCCCTCACAGTGTATTTCAGTCAGTCTGCCTGTTCTGTTCCCCACTCTGTCTCTGGTGGATCCTCTCACCCCACCATGCCTCTGGCCTGTACCCCAGCTCTTGTATGTATAAATAGTTTTTTTTAAAAAGACCCACATTAATTAATAGCTCTAGTATCTACATCTCCATGTACTATCTGTAATATTATATAATTATTATATAATTATTAAGTGAAAAAGAAAAGTTTCTACTTGTCATATAAAACAAGATAAAATAAAAATAAATTAAAATAAATTAAAAGGACAATATATATTTTTTTTTTTTTAATCTTAAATTTTATTTTTATATTCCCCCATACAATTGCAAACGCCCCATTCTGACCCCAATCCTTCCCCTCCCGCCCCCCACCCCCCAAAAAGTGTCTCTGGTTCATAGTTTTTTGTTGATTTTGATTTTCACTTTCTTATATTCATTTTCCTGGTCCCTTATTTAAGTTTTCTAGATTCCTGCTATGAGTGAGACCATCCGGTATTTTTCTTTTTCTTTTTGGCTTATTTCGCTGAGCATGATCCCTTCCAGAGCCATCCATGTTGCTGCAAATTGCATGTGTTTATCTTTTTTGAATGCTGAGTAATATTCCATGGTATATATGTACCATATCTTCTTGATCCAGTCATCTACTTTTGGGCATTTGGGTTGTTTCCAAAGCTTAGCTATTGTAAACAGTGCTGCTATAAACATAGGGGTGCAGGTGCTCTTTGGAATGGATGTTTCTGTGTCCTTTGGGTAAATACCTAGGAGTGGAATTGCTGGGTCATATGGAAGCTCTATGTTTAGTAGGTCCAGAAATCTCCACACAGCTCTCCATAGTGGTTGGGCCAGTTTGCACTCCCACCAACAGTGCAGCAGAGTTCCTTTTTCTCCACACCCTCGCCAACATTTGTTGTTGCTAGTTTTTTTAATATGTGCCATTCTCACTGGTGTGAGATGGTATCTCATGGTAGTTTTGATTTGCATTTCCCTGATTACAAGTGATGTTGAACATTTTTTCATATGTCTGTTGGCCATTTGCATTTCCTCTTCAGAGAAGTTTCTTTTTAGCTCTTCTGCCCATTTTTTGACTGGATTATTTTCTTTGTTGTTGCTGAGTCTCATCAGCTCTTTGCAGATTTTTGTGATCAGTCCTTTATCATTAGTGTTGGGTGCAAAAATGTTCTCCCAGTTGGTGGGGTTTCTCTTTGTTTTTGTTATTGTCTCTTTTGCTGTGCAGAAGCTCTTTAATTTGATGTAGTCCCAGCTGTTGATCTTTGTCTTCACTATCACTGCTTTGGGTGATGTGTCTGTAAAGATGTCTTTGATGTGCAAATCCTGTAGTGTTTCGCCTATATTTCCTTCTATGTATTTTATGGTTTCAGGTCTTATGTCTAGTTCTTTAATCCATTTTGAGTTGATTTTTGTGTATGGTGTGAGGTAGTGGTCAAGCTTCATTCTTTTGCATGTAGCGACCCAGTTTTCCCAGCACCATTTATTTTTTTTTTTTTAATTTTTTTTTTTTTATTTTTTTAAAGATTTATTTATTTATTTATACAAGCACTGGGTACAGCCAGAAGCGCGGGAGGGTGAGAGAATTCACCAGAGCCAGAGCGGGGAGCAGAGCAGGCAGAAGGACCAAAGTAGACTGCTGAGGGGAGCAGCGGGCGGCAGGAGAGGTCTGCGCGCCATGTGGGACCCTCCTCCGGTGGCCGGGGAGCAGCCGGGGATCAAACCGGCGGCCCTACAGAGGCTACGGGCAGCTTCGCAACCCAGCGCTCAACTGCTGCGCCACCGGGGAGGCCCAGCACCATTTATTGAACAAACTTTCTTTGCTCCAATGCATAGTCTTTGCTCCTTGTCAAAGATTAGTTGACCATAAATCTGTGGGTTTATTTCTGGATTTTCTATTCAGTTCCATTGGCCCATGAGTCTGTTCTTGTTCCAATACCATGCAGTTTTGATGATTATGGCTTTGTAGTATAGTTTGAAGTCTGGGAGTTTGATGCCTCCATTTCCTTCTTTTTTTTTCAGTAGAGCTTTGGCTATTCGGGGTTTTTGGTGATTCCATATGAATTTCATCAATAATTGTTCTATTTCTTTGAAGAATGCCATTGAGATTTTGATTGGAATAGCATTGAATCTGTATATTGCTTTTGGTAGGATGGCCATTTTAATAATGTTTATTCTTCCAATCCATGAGCAGGGGATGTCTTTCCATTTCTTTGTGTCTTCTTCTATTTCTTTTAACAGTGTTTTATAGTTTTCTTTGTATAGGTCCTTTACCTCTTTTGTTAGATTTATTCCCAAATATTTGATTTTTTTTGTTTCAATAATAAAAGGGATGGTTTTTTTGATTTCTTCTTCTTCAGATTTATTGTTTGTGTATAGGAAGGCTACTGACTTTTGCGTGTTGATTTTGTATCCTGCCACTTTACTGAACTGATTGATGAGTTGAATTAGTTTTTCTGTGGAGATTTTGGGGTTCTCTATGTATATTATCATATCATCTGCAAATAGTGATAGTTTGACTTCTTCTTTTCCTATTTGGATTCCTTGGATGTCTTTCTCTTGTCTTATTGCTCTGGCTAGGACTTCCAGTATTATATTGAAAAGCAGTGGTGAGAGTGGACATCCAGGACAATATATATTTCTATTTGCTCATATGTACAAAAGTAACTTCAACAAGAGAAAATAATTATAGTTATTTTTGGGGGAATGAGATGGAATGGGACAAAAATATTTTGAAAAGAGGCTTCTACCCATATGGCTTTCTTTACTTGTTAGTTTTCTAGTTTAGTGAATGTACTGCCTTTTTAAAATACATAATTACCAAAGAGAAAAAAAAAAACCCACAAAGATTGGTATGAAAAAAAAAAACTTTATGGATAGAATTAAATGACTTTAGTGAATATTTTTTAATAAATGGAAACGACATATTTTGTGCATGTGTATATTGGAAATATAGCAATATTTCCTTAATCAGTATAGAGCCAGTTCAATTTCAAACATGAACTGCAAGACTCAAAATCATAAAGATATTAATGCTTCCCAAATTGGTCTGTAGAGCCAAAGCAGTTTTTTTAAATGATGATTTGGAGAATTGGACAAGCTGAATTTTAAAATTTATTCTGACATGTGAAGGGCCAGGAATAGCCAAGACATTTGTGAAAAAGAAGAATAAAGGAGATTTGCTGAACCAGCTATCACTACTAATTATGGAACGAAGTGATTTAAATAAAACTAATGTTTTACAACAATGCATTAAAACAATGATTGTCAAGAAAATCAGCTTAATTTACATACTAAAGACACTCAGGTTATACAACACTGAAGCAAGTTGTAGAAACAAAGTTTAAGAAATTCAATGAGAGAATTTCCTGATTAACTTATTACTGGTACTTATTTGAAATTCTCAGAGTATCACATTAAATAGTTCATAATTTTATTATTATTCAATTATATTCTATAAAACCACAGTAATAAAATCTTAAGTTTCCTTTGTTGAATTCGGCAGCACTTCCATATTGTAACTTCAGAAATACGAAGTCAAATACTGCAATTCTCATGACCATGTTAAGAACTATACTTGCACAACTATATTTGTAGATTTTTAAACTGAAATGGTGCATTTATACTGGAAGAACCAATGGCTTCCTCATGCCTGAAGGAGTTAAATAAGCAGTAATCTAGGGTGTAGTTTGGGGGGGTTCCATCCATTTAGTTTTAAAATATGGCCTCAGATTTTACCTCTCTTAGGCAAAGAGGCACTAGGTGAAAGGGAAGAAGATAGACAGCTAGAGATAGAGAGACACAGACTGAGAGTCTCTCTTCCCCCAAAGGTAAAATTTCTCTTAAGTTCCTTAGGCATGCTCTAAGGGGCAAAGTCAAAAAAACATTTATAGGATATTAATACTTGTCAGTTAGGATACGTCAGAACATGGCAAACAGCAATGGAGTTAATCAGACAGTCTCACCTGGGTGGCTATGAGGTAGATCAGCTCCCCAAGGGTTGGTAAAAGGCACTGTTTTAATTTGCTGTTCCTGAAGTTTTCCCTAATTAATTCAGTTAGGAGAGCAATTCCCTGAAAAGAGAAAAAAAAAGTCTATTATTTCACATGTATCTCTCAGTTCCTCCACCTACATTTATTAAAAGGCAAGACACACTGGGCCTCCCCGGGGGCACAGTGAGTTGAGCACAGTGCTATGAAGCCGTGCACAGCCTTTGCAGAATGGGCTCGATTCCAGGCTGGCCAGGGAGATTCCCAGATGGTGCAGCAGACCTCTCCTGTTGCTCCCACTGCTCTCCTAAGCGGTGCTTTCAGTCTGTCTGCCTGTTCTGCTCCCTGCTCTGTCTCTAGTGAATCCTTCCACCTTCCCGCACCTCTGGCCTATACCCTAGCTACTGTATAATTAAAAAAATAAATAAATCTTTTTTTAAAAAAAAAAAAAGGCAAGATACACTAAAAAATCCACCTCCCAGTTTTAAAAACTAGTTTCCAAATTATTTTCAAAATATGGTCCTTATTCCTTATTCCTTCATTCTCAGATGAAGATACAAATATATCCAGTAAAATGAATTTACATATACATAGCACCTATCAGTTACACATAGCACCAAGCACATATGCATGTGTGTCCCTAATACTGGGAGGGCAATTGTTGCTCTATCTGTACAGACAGGAAACTGAGGTTGGGAAAAATCCTGCCATTTGCTCCTGTTCACTTGGACAGGCAGAATCTGAACACAGATTTCACCTCGCCAGATCCCAAGTATACTCCATCAGTTCCCGGCTTGAGAAATACTCACACATCATTAAACTTATAAATGATCTGAGGTTGGGAATATTATACCAAAGTTTCAACATGATCCTCTTTTAAATTCAGCTGAAAATTTAACAGTTCTAGGTAATTTCCTAGGAGCCATGCTAAGAAGATCAAATACCCCCAACGCCAGAATCCATACAGCAGAACATAAATGAATCAAACCAGAGTGTGACTATGAAGTAGACACTTTCAGTATGATGCCTACAAAACGGCCCAATTCTGAAAGAGAAAAAAGCTGTATACAAAATAGCATGAAAGCACTGGTCTAAAACAGTGTGACTCAAAATGTGGGGCACAGACAATACCAGTTCTCATTGTCAACAAAGATATAATTATAGAAATTATACCCAAACATGGCTTCACTTTGTAAACAGGAGTCTGGGCAAGTTGGAGTGAGTTATTTTACTTGTTGATGTGGTATTTTTTCAAACAGCTTTATTGAGTTATAACTAACAGACAATAAACTGCACAAAGCATACAATAGATACATAAGCCATATGTACACACCTGTCAAATCATCCCAGCAAGATTTCTTATAGACATTGACAAAATTTTTCTAAAATTTATGAGGAAGAACAAAAGAAACAGAACAACCACAAGAATTTTGAGAAAGAATGAAGTGGTTGAAATTATTCTACCTGCTTTCAAGACTTAATATGTAGCTGCAATTGTTAAGATGGGGGCACTGGCAGAGGGGCAGACAGGTACATGAATGGAACAGAACACAGACTCTATAGAGATAACTCCAAACCAGTATGGCCAAGATTTTTTTTTTAATAGAGGCATGTTTTATTTATTTATTTGTTTGTTTGTTTGTTTTGTTTATACATGCACTGGGTACAGTCAGAAGCGCGGGAGGGTGAGAGAATTCACCAGAGCCAGAGCGGGGAGCAGAACAGGCAGAAGGACCGAAGTACATTGCTGAGGGGAGCAGTGGGCGGCAGGAGAGGTCTGCGTGCCATGTGGGACCCTCCTCTGGTGGCCGGGGAGCAGCCGGGGATCGAACCGGCGCCGCAGAGGCCGCGGGCAGCTTTGCAACCCAGCGCTCAACCGCTGCGCCCCCGGGGAGGCCCAGTATGGCCAAGATTTTTGACAAGAGTGCAAAGCAATCCCATGGAAGAAAGTCAGTCCTTTCAACAAATGGAGCTGGGACACCTGGTTATCCATAAGAAAAACAAAAACCTCAACCAAAATCCAACAACTTTCTACAAAAAAAACTCAAAATGGATCAAGGATTTAAAAGTAAACTCTAAAACTAATAGGGAAAAAAAAAAAGCATAGGATCTAGGGCTAAGTAAAGAATAAACTTGACACCAGTCAAATAAGCACATAGAGTTGTTCAACATCATTAGTGCCAGGAAAAATGCAAATTAAAGCCACAATGAGATATCACCACACATTTAGATGAGGCAAAAAAAAAAAAAAAAGAAAAGTAGTGACAACAACAAATGTTGCTGAGGATGGAGAGAAAATGGATCATTTATACATTGTAGGACCCAGCAACTGCACTCCTGAGTATTTATCCCAGAGAAATACTTTCATCCACACAAAAACCATATACCAATGTTTATAGCAATTTTATTTACAGTTCTCAAAGCTGGAAATAATAGACGTCTTTCAACAGGCAAACAGTTAAATAAACTATCGTACAACCATCACAGAATACTACTCAGCAATAAAAAAGAACTATTGATACATGCAACAACCTGTACAAATCTCCAGAGAATTATGCTACATGAAAAAAGCCAATCTCAAGGTAGGCTTTTTTTATTTTTTTTTTTTAATTAATAGAGGCATTTATTTATTTATTTGTTTGTTTGTTTGTTTTTTGTTTATACATGCACTGGGTACAGTCAGAAGCGCAGGAGGGTGAGAGAATTCACCAGAGCCAGAGCGGGGAGCAGAACAGGCAGAAGGACCAAAGTACACTGCTGAGAGGAGCAGCAGGTGGCAGGAGAGGTCTGCGTGCCATGTGGGACCCTTCTCTGGTGGCCGGGGAGCAGCCGGGGATCGAACCGGCGCTGCAGAGGCTGCGGGCAGCTTCGCAACCCAGCGCTCAACCACTGTGCCACCAGGGAGGCCCAAGGTAGGCTTTTTTTAATAGAAATGGAGAACAGATTAGTGATTGTCAAGGGCGGGGTTGGGGGACGGACATGAAATAGAGGGAAGTAGGTAAGGTCCTATAATCTATGCCAGTAACGCCACAGCAACCTGACACTTCATGTGCAGACTTTACCTTTGGACAGCATTTGCCAGTACACAGCAGATCATGTTGCTCTACAGTGTTATTTGTACAGCTTTCCACCTGTCATTTTTTAATTTTAAAGCTATTAGTATAAAAAAGGAAGATAATAGCCATAAACAACTATACCACATAAATGGCATATACCAAGGAGAAAAATAAGTTTTTGTTGATCTATAGACAATGACATTCGCAAATGCCAATACTAAATATGGAATGAAAAGGGTAAATATTGTTTAGCTCTTCCTCAAACTCAGAAATCCAAGAAATATTTGGGTATCATACTTATCCAAATTTCCCTATAATCTGTAAAAATTCACCCTACTTTCAAACACTGAACCTAAAAGATAAAAATAGGATCGATATTCCAGTATTATGGTAATATTATTATTTTTAAAAACTTAAGGAAAATGAAGAGGTTTTAAGGAGTCTTATTTCAAATATCATTACACTTTGGGCATGTCTACATCATCATATGCTTCTATTACCCTAATGGAAACTATCTTCTGGGACCACAGGCATGATTGGTTGGTTGATTACTATATATAAATAATAACTTCAGATTGTGCTGCTATTTTGTAAACTACCTTGAATTCAAAATTCATTTTAAAACAATTTTGAGTAGCTATTGCTGGGCCTTTTTTGCCTCTATCTGAAGTCATCAGATTGACATGAAAAGGTCAAATGTGCTTCAATACCACGTTCCCTGCACTGAGTCTCTAAAGTCAAAGGCAGAAAGCAGAAAATGATAAATTAAGAATACAAAGGCGATTGCAGAGAGCCCCGCCCAGGAGGAGCCCAGCCCCAGCACACAGCCCCTGCCGCCCGGTAAGCCTGCGCGGAAGCGGCGCGCCGGAAAAAACAGACGCGGAGCGGGATTGCGCGGGGAAAGCGGCGCGGATTGCGCGGATCGGATCGCAGCTGCCCAGGTCCCCGCGCCTGCGACCTAGGCTTGCCGGGAGACGACCTAGGCTTGCGGGGAGACGCGCGGAGGCCCTCCCGGAGTGAGCAGGAACCAGGCGCCCAGGCAGGGGAGCGGGATTCAAAAGGCGCCATTCCCGCGCCACTGATCTGGGCTACAGCCCGCGTCCTGGAACTGAGGGCTTTGGAACTGAGACCCGGGGCACGAAATTAGGGGCGTGGGTTCCCCACGACGGTGGGGCACAAGGCAGACACAGCACCCCAAAGCCGTTGAGGTGTACCCTACCATCCCCGCTCTGCTCCCTGTCCCACGGGGTGGAAAATCAGCTCCCCAAGGGCTCTAGGAGAGATCTCTGGCGCCACCTAGCGACTGGAAGCCAGCACAGGCTCCTGAAGGAGATAGTGGCCAGCTGGGGAGTTAGCCCACGCCTGGCCCCTTCCGACCAGTAGTCTGAGCCCACAGGGGGAGCGAGCGCCCACAGCCGGGGCAGACCAGGCACGCAGAAGAGTGTGCCTGACACCGTACGCGCAGGGAGTGTGTCCCACATCACCATTTTAGAACAGGGACATTTCTTCAGTAAAGACTACCTGCAGAACGCTTCCTCAGGAGCCAGAGGTGAGCGGGGGAAGTTCGCCCACGCCAGACCCCCTCTGGCCTGCAGTCCAAGCCCAGTGGGGGAGCAGGAACCCACCGCCGGGGCAGACCAGGCGCACAGGGGAGTGTGTCCCCACATCGACATTTTAGGACAGGGACCTTTCTCCAATAAAGACTGCTTGAAACTGACAGATGACTCCTGGAGGAACCAGAGGGGAGCAGAGAAGCTCACCCAAGATGCCGGCCAGTCCCAACTACACAGTGTCCCAACGCATACGGCAAATTAGAAAACAGACAGTAGGGAGGAGAAGAACCACACGCAACCTAGCAACTCTCCAGAAAAAAAGCACACCACAAAAAGAAAACCAGCCCTCAGATGGCAACGACAGTAACTTGGAAGAACTTCTGAGCCTTCCAGAAAGAGAATTTAAAATTGCCGTGATTAAAAAACTGACAGAAGTCATAAAGGAAAACAATGATAAGGGAAAAATAATCAACGA